ATCAACAAATCAGCCAGGTCACTGATCGCATCCACCACACATCAGAAAATCCCCTACCCAATCTTTGGGGGAGGTGTCGGCCAATCAATAGCGATTAGGCAATGTCGAGAAAATGCTCAGCTCAAGGGCTAAGGAGAAGCAAGCAAGCACAATTCGTCCCTATAAATCAAGCAGATCTAAAAGGAGCAGATAAAGCTGAGGAGAAAGCAGATCCCATTCATGACAGTCGAGCAGACCAGAAAGAAAAGGGAATAACTACTCCCCAATTGCAATCACAGAGTTAGGATCAAGCTGAGGGAATTCGACTGGAGGCCTCTCCTGAAGAAGGATGGAATTCGTCTTTGCCCTTTTACTTTCATTTATTTTTATTTTACTTCATTTACTTAAGTTTATAATGTAAATAAAGAAGTACCTCCCATTTGGATTCAAATAAAAATATTAGAAAATCAAATTCTCACCAAATAAAAAAAATGAAAAATTGGTTTTAGTGCAAAATACGATTTAGGCTAAAAATGATGGCTCATTAAGTCAATATATATTTCATACTAAAATCCCATAAAATCAAGTTTTCTTATTTGATGTGTAAGGAATAAAAGCCGCCAAAAATTATCTTGAGAGAATGATTATTCTAAAAAAACCATTTTTCATACTTAGTCAATATTTTTACAAAACAATTTTTCATGTATGATATGAATGCATGAAAGGACCTAAGGTCAATCTAGGTAAAAAGTCTATATGTTCAATCCACAAAGAGTTTTTAGCTTTTCAAAATTACATCTCCGCTAAAAAATTTATGGATCCGCCAGTGTCCAGTATATATTAACTTAGTAAAGCCCAAAAAAGTCCAATTTTGTTTTTATAAATTTAGTTGGAGGGCAGCAATAAAAATACACATTAAAATAGGTTCACTTTCAGTTGCATTTAATATGTCTTTGTTTTTTGTTTTTTATAAAGAGTAATAGTATTTTATTGATCAGAGGAACATAATAAGCAAGTACAAAGCCACTATGGTGTTAAACCATATTTGGTTTATGTTAAAACTTATTGAAAATTAGTTTATGAAGCTATGAAGTAGCGTGGTTTATATAATTTAATGTTACTTTTATTTCTAGAAAGACTATAGAAATTTTGAGCACAAAAAAATAATAATATATATATATATATATATTAAATTTTAATCAAATAACTTTAGCTAACCCACTCATTAAAAAATTCATAATTCCATCCTTAGTCATAAACCTAGAATATAATATTAATAAATAAATACACATATTAATATAACTTAAGTAAATTAACAATAACACATAACACTATCACCGTCACACACAAAAAATTATAATTTCCTTTTGATCGTACGAGGAGGGGTTTTTGGTTGTGGGCATTGCATAAATATTCTCACTTGTTTCAGTAGAAGAATGAGGATCACAATATCAGAATATATCGATCAATTAATTAATTAATAGTCGGAATAATAGGTTGGAGGCCATTCTGTGGGTCCTTTTCCAATCCAAGAAGCAAGCTTAGGTCACGATCTATTAGACATGAGACCAAATGCACGTGCATGCATTAGGAATTTCGTATTTAGATTTAAGTAGTCATTAACTCCCTTAAGCCTGCCCTGAGCACTTCCAAAAATTTGTCTTTTGAAGGGGAAAGAAACAAATTAATTTCCTCATCACTGTTACCTGTATTTGGTTGTGCCTTTGTGGAATATTGGAACATGATCTGATAATACCTTTCAATAAATCCAAGGATTCACAATCTCGAGCATGATTAATCTGAAAAAACACATAATTTAAGCATAATTACACAACTACATATGTATAAGAGCTGCATGCATACGTACAGATTTACTCCTAGCCCTGTACATGAAAAAATAACACGCTTTTATTTTATTAGAAGCGTGTGACATCCTTCACACTCACTACCTTTGGTGGATATAACGATCCCCTAGCCAAACGGTTAATTGGTGAGATAGGCAATAGAAATGGATCTTGGGCTTCTCATCTCATACAATTATGGTAGATTGAATGGTTGGTTACAATGTTGCTATGTAACGGTCCGGATCAAATTCATGTTATCCACTTATTTTGCTCGAGTGACTCTACACTCAGTAGTGAAAAAATCTTATAGCTTTGTTCATGCCCAAGTTAATTTTAGATTGAATGCTCTCTAATTCTATGAATGATCACAAATCAATCTAGCTGGCCATTTTTTATTAACATATGTTATACCTTTTTTGTTTTAAACAAGATGGGGGAAAGAAAAAAAAAGCTTAATCATGTGTAGTTGATCAACCTTTAGAATCCAAGCTTTGTCGAAGAGAGACATGTTGGCAGGTACTGAATTATTTGTCTTAATTTGCAAGATCGAAGAATCAATTCCACAAACTTGTTCTCATTCATTACCTCCAATCCAAATCAGCTGCCAAAACATAATTAATACAAAAAATAAAAATAAAAATCTTCGGAAGCACATGCATGTTAATGTTCCAAGCATTCAAGTTTTGTCAATATATTTGGATGTTACATCGATCTCTCCTTGCTTCAGGGGCGGAACTAGTTCGTAGCCTTTGAAAAAAATAAAAATAGACTATATGTATTCTAATGTGATTTACCCCATCAAAATTTAGTAGTTCACCAAATGCAGCCTAGTAATTCATTGCCCACTCAACTTTATAGGTCTATAATAATTGTATATTAATTTGTTTGCTCAATTGAGAGACATAATCCCTTCGTAAACATTCACGACTTTGACTCTTTACATTTTTCATATGCAATAACAAAATATTTCACTTCTCTCAAAGATCGTAGAGCATAACTTGAATAGGTACAATTTAAATTATGTTGTTGAACATATTTTTATTTTGTTAATGTTTTTTTATGTTGTATTTTAATATATATATATATATATATATATTTTGGTTTCATTATGTCTTAAAAAATTCATACTTCCGCCTTGCTTGGTTCTTGGAATTTCTTCAAGATTTATGTTTTCGGGTATATACGGACAAGGCAATATTACGTGGACCACGATGATGCATGGGCTATTGTTCTGGCGGCGCTGAGAAAATAAATATATTCTTGGACCATGTTGCAATAATTAATGGAAGTTGCCAGAACCAACAAGCCAGGAGTTTCCCAGAAATATGTATTCGATTTGGGGGATTGGTTTTATTGCTTTTCATTAGAGTTCAACCTTAAATTTGGCACGGCAAATTGGAAACATGGACACATCATCAAAGATCATGGGTCGCTTAATTATACAATTAACCTGGCTGCTCAGCCACGCATGATATATATGCCAAAGCCCCACAGCGCATGCAGTAATGGCAAAGATGACACAACTTTTTTTTCTTCTTCAAGATATATGATTTCTTAGAGTTTGTATAGAAAAATACACTTGCATTTAATCCCATATTAGAAGGGAGTTGTTTCCTTCCATGGTTTATAAGCGCCAACACTTTAGAAATACTAAATAGAGTATGGGCCTAGCGGAGGCATAGTTAGGCCTCATCATGGTTTGAGCTTGGATTATATATGGTTTGAGCTCTGTTGATTTAATTAATAATTTATTTTTATTAATTAGAAATTCATTTTTTCAGATAAAACCAAAATCTGAAATTCGAATCAGATAAACAGTTAACATAATTGTTGGATGAAGAGGTGTCAGACCTCTATATATTGACAATACGTTCAAACCAGATAGACACTTTTGAACAGCATTATCATTCTCACATTTTTAACGCTTCCTCATAGAATTCATACCACTGTTCGCCAGAAATCAAAGCCATTGTGTTTAGGCTTTGATTAAGATAGTTTAATCTTGGTGGACGGACTCCTATCGAACTACAAGCACAAGGGTAGATGAGAAATACTGTCTAAAGGACACTACAACTCTGCAGGACTCTATCTACAATTCAAGTCAGTATTCTACAATTTATATTATTGTTGTATTGATTCAATTATATTTATATAAAATATATTTCGTTTGTTATTATTAGTCTGTTATTTTGGCTTTATACTGATTGTTCTACAACATGATTGGGGAAAAAAGTTAGTGCAAATCTTTATTAGTTACCGGAGGAATTGAATTGAGAAGGAATATAATTTGAATTCTCAATGAAGCTGTTTATTAAACTAACTAGAATTGGGGTAGGAATGGTATTGACTCCCTATAAATTGTTTACTAAATTCCCCTTAATCAAAATTGAAACCAGTTTGATTACTAAAATGCGATTATTCTCAATAAATTATTTTATACGTAAATTTTTGTTGGGTTCAAATGACTGAGAAATTTGAAATTTTAGAAATTGTGTGAGGATTTAATGGATAAAAAAGATGAATTTCTAATGGGTTAGTTCTCTAAGAAATAGAATATACCACCTCGCACCCAAGAATCCCATTCCTTTAAAATCAAGAGTTTTATGTGGGCTCCACTTGTATATTTCATTCCTTTATATGAAGTAAACATATGAGTAGTCCGTAATCAGAATTTGATTACGGATTAATAAACATGCCACAAAAAATTAAGATTATAACAATCGGTGCTATGTACCACTTGTACAAAATAGGGCGTATTAAGAGGGTATATATGACAAGTTCAATTTACTGCCAAACAAGTCAAGGAAGGCTTCATTGATAGTCCATACTGATTACATCAAAGCACACCTAATCATATATATAGACCAACATACACAAATAACTCAATAAGAGAAAATGGATATTATCCTATAAGCTTAGCGTCTAGAATATCTGCTAAATCCGTTTTATTTTTGCACATAGCTTATGGATCACAAAGAGCCCAAAATACTTACAAACACAATCCAATAATATAAGGATAATATCTATAAGCTTAGCTTCTAGACTATTTGCTAGAGCCGTCTTATTTTTACACATAGCTTATGGATCACAAAAAGCCCAAAGTACTTACAAACACAATTCAATAACAAAAGGATAATATCTATAAGCTTAGCTTCTAGACTATCTGCTAGAGCTGTCTTATTTTTACACATAGCTTATGGATCATGAAGAGCTCAAAGTACTTACAATACAATCCAATAACATAAGGATAACATCTATAAGCTTAGCTTCTAGACTATCTGCTAGAGCCGTCTTATTTATACACATAGCTTATGGATCACAAAGATCCCAAAGTACTTACAAACACAATCCAATAACATAAGGATAATATCTATAAGCTTAGCTTCTAGACTATCTGCTAGAGTCGTCTTATTTTTACACATAGCTTATGGACAAAGTTTATTTTTGCTACATCAATTCTTGAAAATTGATGCAACGGGAGAGTGCATCCACGAGCTTCTCAATATCGTGCCTTGTGTGCATTGCGCTCAATGTCACTCGTAGCCTGAGCACAAAAATATAAAAATATAAATGAAGATGTAAGTTTAGAAAGTTATAGGTTTCAATTCCCCAACTCAAGTGACCGCTAATGAAGAATTGCAACAAACCTGCATGAGTTGAGTGGCACTGTTGGGGGCCTGATTGCAGTGACATGGAAACCGTATTTTAATAAACTCCTGTTCATCGTCAATTGACGATTCAGTTAGATATATGCAGTTGTAGTATGATCGATCTCTAAATTAATCACACATAAAAAAGATAATAGAGAGGGAAAGAAACAAAACTGGCTAGCTTGTAGAGCCTTCTCTTCGCTCCCTACGACAAGAGAGATTATGGGACTTTTTATGGGGATCCCAGTTAGAGCACGAAAGTCTTCCACCCGATTCCAAATTGCCCGTCTACGCCATGTTTCCTTTCTTGCCACAATAAGAGCAGCTGCAAATTTATACCTGTAGTGTTAACACATGTGATGTGAATAATGCATGCATGATAAATTAATGCTAGGGTTTTACCATGGGCAGCAGCAGCAATTGGTACTGGCGTAGCTGTGGAAAATATAAAAGAGCGACCCCTTGATTGTATGAGCTGCTTCCACTTTTTGCTGTATTAAGATCAAACGTGCAACTATAAACCCTAAATCTCACAATTTGTATTGTTGCTACAAATCAAGGGAAAATAAAGCAAGAATATATATTTACCTGCATGCAATGAATCCGCCTTGGCAACCAACAGCTTTACTCAAAGTGCCAACACATATATCAACATCTCTTTCACAGTTGAATTCCTCAGCCACTCCTCCGCCATTTTTTCCAAAAATCAGTGTACCATGAGCCTGAATAAAAATGTAGGTTTAGGATTATTAATATCTTATACCTATATAAAGAGCATTTCAAATCCGCCTTGATATTGTCGGGGCCAAGACAACCCAAATTCTGCACAAGAAGCCGTATAAAAAATGTGATAAATTGGGGCTTAATTGTGCTAAAAAATTTAAGGACTTCTTAGATCTAGATTCAAAATGATTAGTTGTCATTAGGCTGAGTCCTTCTCGTTTTAGTTTTAGATGCAGATCCTTTGACTTTTATTTATTTATTTGGTGTTGATTTTACCCTTTTGAAGTAAATAAGGAAACACATTGAAAATCCAAATTTAATGCATTATTTCATTGTAATTGAATTTCAGAATTTAAAATTTGAATTCTTTCCTTGTGAATATTTACCTAATATATGGATAAAATACAATTTAATCAATAAAAGTAAAGACCCACATATTATACTAATCGATGAGGCAATCACCTACATAAAATTATGTACCTATGCATCAAGTAAACACCCAAATATTGAAAACACAAAATGTTTTATACTTATCTAGTTGATTCGTGGTGTTTAAGGATAGCAACAAATAAAAAACATGAAAAAAAAAAATATAAACAAGAGAAATATTGATGATGTTTTTATGTACCTAATATATGGGTACTATGAGCAAATGTGCTTTATATTAATATATGTATATATATATATATATGTGTGTGTGTAGAATTTGAAAATATTTTTACTCACAACTTTAACTCAAGATGTACCCCCACTATCCTTCTTAACACTTGACATGTGCCCAAAGATCTAACCATAGTTAACTCTTTGCCTTGTATTTGCGGAACTATGGTTATGCTCATGGACACGTATCAAGTATTGAGAAGGGTGGTGATGGTAAACAATAAGAAAGAAAGCCAACAATTTTTTTGAGTTAAAAGAAGAAAAAAAAAAAAAGACAACGTTAATATACAAAATCATGGATCCAATTTTTTCCTGTAATTATCACATAAATTATAGTTACCCGATTTAAGGCATAAAGGGCAACATTTTGGAACAAAAAATGATTTAAAATAAAAATAAAAAGATTACATCAGAAAATGTTTAAAAAGGAATGTAATCCTATGTGGCACAAAAGTCAAAGAACTTGTATCAAAGTCACCAACTCCAAGGATTAAAACCAACTTCTCAGTATGAATTTGGATCTATATCAACTTTTCTATTATAATTATACTCTTTCGAAAAACAAAACAAAAAAATGTTTTTTTTAGAGCCAATAACAATTCACTTATTAATTCTCCCTCTCTCTCCATCCCCTTGACAACTTTGTTATATGGATGGGGCCTTAAGGTGCAATTCTCCCTCCCCTTGCTCAAATACGTATAAGAAACGCCTTTTCTGCACGTGCATTAACACGTGTGAAAGGCTGATATAAATTAAGTAGATTAACCAATTCAAGATGATCCAACAACTCTACATGTAAGTGTAAAAGTAGTAGTTACCCTTTTTAAAATAAAATAAAATTTTAAATGAGTAGTTGTTATTTTAAATTGAGTAATCATAATGAGTCATAAAGAAAAAGAAAAACTGAACATGTCCTGCAGTTGCCGATAAAAGTAGGAGACAACCACCTTCAATATTTTAAGCCTTTTAGATATTTTTTTTTAATAAAATAACTATAAAACTCAGTTTTTTAAATTAAAAGGAGAACAAGAGAATGACAAAAAAAAACTCCAAATGGTACACACGCGGGTGCCATAGGAGATACTATATATTAAATTAAACAGTTATGTGGGTCTCTTAATGCGTAAAAACGCTTATATGAAATGAGGATAGCACTATTTTGTTATCCCAAGTCAATCACGGAATGCCACGTATGATAGCTTTTTTGTGTGGCAAACTATGATTGGCCCGGAATAACAAAACAGAGCTATTCCAATTTCATACAAGTTTTTCTGCTTAATGTGGGCCAACTTTCTTGATGGATTGCCCTAGAGGACTTACATCATCAATAACTAACAAAAAGTCATGCTCTTTGCGTAGCTTCACAAGCTCAACCATTGGTGCAACGTCTCCGTCCATACTAAACACGCTGTAATAAGAAAATTGCAACTCATAAGAAAGAGAGCAAAAAACAAAATCAAAATAGAGACACTATATCTAAACCAGAAATTGATTCGAACAGAAATGACATTATAGAAAGCATCACTAACCTATCAGTCACGACCACTTTCTTCATAATTTTGCAACTTGATCTATCAAAGCACAAATGCAATGCTAAGCTATGAAAAAAAATGAAGTATATATATCTAATTATAAGAAGAGGCAAACGAAGATTAAAAGAGATGTTCAAGACTTACAACAAGGCATCAAGGTGATTCATGTCACAATGTCTATAGACGAATATCTGTACAGACTTTTGCTTGTCAGCAATACGAATACCATCAATTATTGACGCATGGTTCAGTGCATCAGAAAAAATGGCAATCTTTTCATCAGGTGAAGGTGTTTTGCCAGCAGCCAAGAGAGTGCCAACAGATCCCAAAGCTACCATTAAGGACGTATTGGCTGCAAATCCCGTTGGACAAAGAAGACAATCCTGGAGGATACATTGTAAACAAGATATATTGCATCATTTTCAACTGAATATACCTAAAACATCACGTGAGTAGCACATGACTAAGAGAATGAAAGCGGTATTTTATATTATATATAAGTCCACTACTTGAGAAAGTAAAAGGTTAGCAGCTCATACCTCTTTCTCCTTCAAGTCTGCCAGGCATGACTCGAGTAACCTATGGTAATCAGTATATCCACAGATTAAAGCAGAACTCCTTGGGCCCATTCCGTGTTCTAGGGCAACCTGGTTGAATATATATAATTATATTATTATTGCATGGTTTTCAAAAGTGATAGTAAACAGTAAATGAAAGATACAATCTTCGCAGAAGTTGGTAGTGTCATCAAGAGAACCTTAGCTGCCGCTTTTCCAATAGTAGGATGTGAACCCAAGCCCAAATAATCATTCGTAGAAAATAGTAGCAGCTTTTTGAAACTCTGGGTACCATCATCGTCTCCTATAAAATTCAAGAAACGTGACAAGTAACTTCAAAATTGAAAGAAAGAAAAAAAATTCTAAAACAAGTGAGAAATGGTTGAACTGAACCCTACCTGAACTGGGAATGTCATGGACCCATTTTTGGAATGTGGCTTCAGTAATTTGAACCTGCACAGCGGATCGATCCCATGGTTGCAGTTCATCGAACACATTGAATTCATCTTCAATAGGTTTTTGGGCTTCTAGAGCTGGTGCACTATGGAGGTGAATGGGTCTGAGAGATCCAACGAGTTGCAGGTGTTGGAGTTTCTGAAGAGCCTCTTCAACCCAATGATCCCACGACCTCATCATCTCAAGTTGGGCAAATTCAAAACAGAGAAGGGAAGATTGAAATATTGGAGAGTAGAGTAGTGCCTTTAGCTCTACATTCGGAAGTAAGCACATTAAACCAATATATACTACTTGAAGAACCAACTGTTCCTCCCAATCCTCAATTTTAAAATAAAGATAATTTTCTTCGTGACATAATTAGAATAATTAAGCGAGCTTCATCTCTCTCTCTCTCTCTCTCTCTCTCTCTCTCTCTCTCTCTCTCTCTCTCTCTCTCTCTCTCGTCGAAAGACAAATTACTATGTTGTTTTAACAATCATTGATTAACGTGTTGTAATTGTTGTCGTGCTTGTATCATTTTATCGTAATGTACTTAGTTAGTTATATTTGAACTAATTGAGATTAGAAAACATGCTGCTCATATATATGAACAATTTTTGTTGACCTTTCCAATTTTGCTTGCTTCCTAGAGAGGAGAATGATCTTTGCTAAAGAGGATAGAGAGAAATTAGTGCAAGATGTGTGCAAGATGTGCGTGAGATGTGTGTGTGATATATTGAAATAGACATTATTGCACTTGAGATCTTCAAATACCCTTCTTCTTCCGGGTATTAGATAGATAGACGGTTTCTAAGGCAGGTTGGAGCTGATGGTAGAGTAAATTTTTTATTATTTAATTGTTTTTTTATAAAAATAATTGAATAGTCGACACTTTTACACAGTAACTCTATGACCCAAGAATCCTGGGATCCGCCACTAATGACAGTTAAAACAACAAAGTAATATGTCTTTCCACAAGTGAGAGAGAGAGAGAGAGAGAGAGAGAGAGATGTCCGAAATTGAAAAACTCTGTAATAGCTTTACCCAAAAAAAAAAAAAAAAAACTCTGTAATAAAAACGAAAGGGAATGGGAGAGAAACTATAAAGTCTTTGAAATTTAAGTTTGACTAACAACAATCACGAAGCTTGCTTAATTATTCTAATTATGTCAAGAAAAGTTTTTCTTTATTTAAAAATTGAGGATTGGGGAAGACTAGGGATGATCTCATGAACAAGCTAACCTGCCCAGGAAACTTGGTTTTTTTGTTTTTTTTGACTAAATTAATACCCTACTCTAGGCAATCCAAATAAATTGATTAGTTGTTGAAATTGACTTTGGTGTTCTTGCTTGTATGAATTATCAATTGGGGATTTTGATAAATTGATTAGTTGCTGACATGTTGATTGAAGATGTGATAAAGGCCTAGTTTCTTATTTACAATTGATGATGTTTTCTGGATTTTGATAAGATATTTAAGTATTTAAGTATGTTGTACTAGCATTTTGAGAGTTAAGACTCATTATATGTTCCCGCTGTATTTTTTTTATCATTAATAAAATTCACTAGTACTGTCGAGTTTTCAATAAATTTGTATGTAAGGAAAATTTAGCCAATAACAATTTCAAATCTTGAGTCCATCCCTACTTAGTTATATTTGAACTAGTTGAGCTTAGAAAACATGCTACTCATATATGAACTAGTTCTATGTGGACAATTTTTATTGACTTTTCCAACTTTGCTTGCTTCTTAGAGATGAGAATGAGCATCGTTTTTTCTCAACTATCCTTTTGATTAATGATTCAAGGGCGGAACCAGCCACGACAAAGGTGGGCTGTAGCCCAAGTAGCTTTTGAAGTTGAAGGAAAAAGCTATATCTATATTGGCCCACAACAAGAAGTCTGCTTCTTTTTGGGGAGTTTTTGAAGAAAAAACCTATATGGCCCCATATGTGATTCTTGAAGGCTTTTATAATTTTATTTTCTGTCATTTTAAACCAATGACTGGCATCCACGTGTAGATTATAAACGTGTAAGCTACATTTTTGATTTATTGCTTCCTTCTTTTTGTTTAAAAGAAATATTAAATTTTAAGCTAAAAATTTTAGCTAACCCACCTATTAAAAAATTCATGATTCCACCCTTGTAATGATTGTCATTGTTTTCGAGATTGTATAGTTTTGCCCAAATATTAGTTCTATTTGAACTAGTTGAGATGAGAAAACATGCTATTCATATGTGAACTCGTTCTATTCAGACAATTTTGTTGAATTTTCCTACTTTCTTTGTTTATTGGAAGAAAGAATAGGTTCCCTTCAACTTTAGATTCAGAAGTAGCACGGCTTTTAATATAGTATATGAGATGTGGATAACTTTGTTGACTCTGCTTGTTAATGTGTTTCTTAATTTACGTGTTTTCTCAACTATACTTAATTAATGTGTTGTTATTGTTTTCGGGTTTGTATTATTTTGCTCAAACACACTTAGTTACATTTGAACTAGTTGAGATAAGAAAACATACTACTCATATGAATCCGTTTTATGTGAACAAGTTTGTTGACTTTTCCTACTTTGTTTGCTTCTTAGCAGAAATCATGGGAGAAATTGGACTGTTGCCTTCAGCTTTAAATTAACAAGTAGCACACCTTTTTATGCATGCATACACACCCATATGAAATGTGGACAATGTCGTTATCCTACTGTGGAATATGAATTTTGGCATCCGATCACAAAGTGACACGTAAATAAGGGAAGATTCTTTAGGTCAAATAATTGTGCTAATTAAATTCGATTTAATTAAGAAATTATCTTTGATTTAAGATAAGAATGTCTCCTTAAATTAATGATCTGATTCCCAGCAAATCTCCTTGATCTTATCCTATCATTCCATTTAAAGAAAAGATAATTCCCTTCTATATGGGAATTATCTCTACAAACCTTAGCAAATAAGGAGTCTCTATATAAAGATGGCCACACACCACATATGAGCTAGCTCTTAAATCCTTTTCTACCTCGAAAAATCCTAGAGAAATCTCTCTCTCTCTCTCTCTCTCTCTCTCTCTCTCTCTCGTCCTCAAGCCACTCTCTCTTTTCTCTCTCACGGCCACGCGCCACCCCTTTTTTTCTCACCTGAAGAGAAAGCTCCATCCTTTCAGTATTTTTGCATCTTTCAAAGACCATTTAATTGACTTAGGCATCGAAGGGCCTTTGGCCAACACGCCCTGGCTATGCTTCATTGACTGAATCTATTTTACAGGGATCGAGGACGAAGAAGCTCGAGTGAAGAAGAGGATCTTTTCTGAGTATTCCCCGAGATTATTTGTACAAATACCTACTTTGATAATGTTGAAATTGAAGGAAAAAAAAAATCACAAAAAAAAAAAAGAAAACAAAAAGAAGATATTTGTTCAAAAAATTTTGTGGGATTGAACAAGTATCAAAAATGTTGTAAGCAAGTTTGAAACATTAAAAGGGGTGGGTCTGATCCCCACGCATATATTCATTTGTTTCGAACACAAATTGAAATATCAAAGAAATTGAGTTGGCTTTAGTTTCATGACATAGAAAGGTGTTGCTTTAGATATCAACATCACTTCAAACTCTCCATTCAATAGCCTATTAAAAGGCATGACAACTTAACTAAAAAAGAAGGCGCCGCAGGAACAAAGAGGAGGAGCAAGCACGCAAGAGGAGCATCGACATAGAGGAGGACCCGTCATCAGAAGAAGGTAACCTCACTGTTTCATCGAATGCTTCTGGGCACCTCAATTCGCAATTAACCCAAGAGGATTCCTGGCTATGATGACTTCTGTCATCATAAATAAAGTTAGGAATCTCTCTATGGCAAGGCTCTGCTCAAAGACTTCCAAGGAACGTTGCATTCAGCATCTAGTACAATCAATCTATAGGAGCAAATATTTTGGCCTCTAATCACAAGGCTCCACGTGGATAGGAAGCATATCTCCTAGGTTAATTAATTGAACCCTATTTATTTGGTAAATTAATTGATGTTAAAAATAGGGGTAAGATAATATCACAAATTAAGATATTATCCTAGTTTAGAAACATCGATCAAATCCCTAACGGACTCAATCTCTATAATTTGGGGAAGGAATAAATTCCTTCATAATAGGAATTATTCTTTGAAAAACTATAGATGTCTAGAGCTCTATAAATACATGGTTTCATTTAATACACAAGGTAATTCTAAACCTAATCCCGAAACCCTATGAAAATACCCGAAATTCTCCACACACACTCTCTCTCTCTCTCCTACCTGACGACACTATCACTGCCGCTAGCCACACCTATCTCCATATTTTCATTCATTGCTTTAGCCACCCGGTTCTCCCCGTAGAGAAAACTCCGTACCCATTTTTAGCTATTGTTTCTCCTAGATACAATCGACCTAACTTAGGCATCGGAGGGCCTTTTGGCCAACACCCCCTGGGTGTGGTCTATTTACTCTGGTATTTTTTACAGGGGCCGAGGAAGAGAGAGAAAGAAGTTCAAAGGGCGAAGGATCTTCAAGCGGATATTCTCTCGAGAGAATATTTGCACAAACACGATCCATGGGGATTCTTGGCTATGATGATTTCAATCATCATAAATTAAGTCAAGAATCTACTCCAAGAAGTACCTCCTCCTCCACAACATCCAGTCACGGATTCACAGCCAAGATGATTTCAATCATCATAAGATCAAGTCCTAATATGCTTCGAGGTGCGGCTCCGCTCAGATGTTTCCAAGATGTGCTCAACATCCAATTCACAAGCACTCCATAAAGATTGCTTGTCATGATGGGCTTGTAAGATTTTCCATGTATTTTGTGAGTTTGCCTTTTTATTAGTATGAGGTGTCATATAAAAAATAGATAGAGTTATATTTAAATTAAGATATTATGAGACTTCTTTTTTGATTGTTACATTGGGAGGAAAGAAACCCCTTGGGGTTTCAAACCTGGGTGTCAAGGGGAAGGGGGAGGAGACCATTGTGGTACTTGCTCTTAACATTGTGAGACTTTTATTTAGATAATGACTGAATGGAACAATTGTTGCAAGAGGTGGATATCATTCATTATCTACACGTTTTGGCTAGCAGTTGTCTCTTAATAGGTGAGTCAGTTGTAAAGCAACTTATATAAAATGCTTGGTCTCTGGTCTCATATTCATACGTTCATATTATGTATGCTTGTCCTATTGTAAGCCTTGACATTTTGGAATACTGAGAGGAGAAGATCGTCTTGTATATTTGATTATGGCTAATTCAAGTAAGTCTTATCTCTAATCATTCTTTTGTTCAATTGTCTTTCTAAGTTAAGATGTGGTTTAAGTGCTCAACTAGTTTAGAAATATTTCATACAGTAAACTCTTACATGTGGTATCAAAGCAGTCAATTTAGTCTTAAACTCATTTATTTTGGTTAAAGTTTATCAAAATTGTGTCGTTTATGATTAGAGTTTATTTATTTATTTATTTATTTTTAAAGATTCTTTTATGATATGTTAATGATTATCCCTGGGATTTTATATCATTTATTTCGATGCACTTATGATGCTAGCCGATTATTCAATTCGATCAGTAAACATTAGGAATCATATTCTGTCCCAATTGATTTGTCTGATGGTTTTTTTTATTTATGAATTTTGTTGATTTAATTTAATTAACAAGATTATTATATTGGGCTGCCAAAGTGGTTTATCTGATCCTTTGCTATTTAAAATCAATTTTGACGCTCAGTTTGTAGTTTATAAGCATTAATAGGTAGATTTTCTTTCAAAGAAGTTGTCTACTGGGTTTGACTATAAACTAATGTTTAGTGAGTCATGGAAAATTTGGTTAGTATTTGCACTAATTCTTGTGTTTTATGCTTGGTTATGCAAATTTTTTGATAGTTCATTACATTTATAGAGTGATTTCTTGCCCAAATATGTGATCAGTTTCTATAACTTAAGTATGACTAAAGCATTTAGATTCAGTTTTAGTCACAATTGTTGTGAACTTCGACGCTTATGTTATGTTTCTATAATTAATGGCAGGTTTCAATGTGTTAAACCTTATTAACATTGAGAAACTGAATGGGACCAATTTCAAGACATGGAAGTAAAAGATTGACCTGAATTTGGGATCACTTGAGTTCACCATAGCTTTTAAGGAGCCTAAGCCAGCATCCTTGGTTGATGTCAGTAGTCAAGAAGAAAAGGATGCTTTTAAGCAGTAGGAGAGAGCAAATGATATGTCTTTTCTTATAATGCAAAATTCAATGGAAGAGAACATCAGAGGTGGCATTCCAAGCTGTGATCTTGCCAAGGATCATATGGCAGTTGTGGAGGAAAAGTTTAAGAGGTCTGACAAGGCTGAATCTAGTTCTTATCTTACCACTCTCACTTCAACCAAATTTGATGGAGCTGGAAGCATAATAGAGCATCTCCTCAAACTTGGTAATGTGGCAAACAAACTCAACAATCTAAATTTGCAAATTACTGATCAATTCCTTGTTCATGTGGCTCTCAATTCCTTGTCTTCCGATTATGAGCAAGTAAAGATCAACTACAATACCCAAAAAGAGACTTGGACTGCCAATGAACTTATTGCTATTTGCTATCAAGAGGAGGAGAGATTGAAAAAGGGCAAACGTGAAGTTGTCAATTTGGTTCATTCTGTGAAAGGAAAGAAAGTACTTACTGTCAATAAGTTTAGAAATCCCAATTAGAAGACTGGTGCAACTAAAACAGGTTCAAATTCCAATTGAAAGAAAAATGCTAATAACTCTGTCGTGCCTGCTCAAAACTCTATTGCTACCACTACTTCTTGTCTTAAACTTAACAAAGAAAATTTGTAGGGATTCAAAAACCAGAAGAAGCAAAATGGAGAGATCTACAAAGTCTTTATTTAAAATGGAGCAAAAGTAGAAGTAAAGTATGTTGGTGTTGTTAAGTTAAAGTTGTTATTTGGTTTTATTTTAGTCTTGAACAATGTTCTTTATGTATCTTCAATGAGAAGGAATTTACTTTCAGTTTCAAAGCTTGTTAAGGATGGTTTTTCTTATAATGGTGATGATGAAAGTATTAGTATTTTTCATAAAAATCAGTTTGATAAATTACTTGGTTATGCTTTTCTTAATGGTGACTTGTGGCAGATTCAATGTAGTTGATTCTATTATATGGTGTCTTTCATGAAAAGCATAACCAAGTAATTTATTGATGGTGTATTTCCTTTTTACTGCTTGTGTATTATATAGTTGGGAGTATGGAGTTTTTGCATTGCCTTCTTATTGTCATCGTATTCCGTCCCTATTGCAATTATATTGCCGTCATATCACCTTTTTTCTGAAGTATGTCTTGGAAATAAAATTATGTAGTTGGGAGTATAGAGTTTTTGTATTGCCTTCTTATTGTTGTCGTGCTGCCTCCGGATTGCTATTCTATCGTCGTCGTATCATTTTTTTTTTTCAAGTCTTTCTTGGAAATTTTTTGCTGGGTTTCAAACAAATAAATGCTTCTTTTTCAAACAAAAATTTAAAGTTGATCAATGTCAACCATTTCAAAAACAAATATCACAAATTGGGTTTGCAAACCTGTTGGTGGTGCTTGTGGTGGCTAATGGTGTGGATGAGGAAGATGAGCTTTTGGACCCATGAAAAGAACATGGAGAATTGGGAATTAGGGCTGGGAATTAGTGAGAGAGAAGAGATGCAGAACTGGGGTCTCATCTCAGATAGAGCATAACAGAGAAGAGAAGAAGAAGTAAAGAAGAAAGCAATTTGGGGTGTCATCTCAAAGAAAGCATAGTAGAAGAAGAAAGCAAAATTTAGAGAGAGCAGACACCAATTTCAGACAACAAAAAATTGATAAAAAGGTGATACGGGACCAACAGGGACCTTTTATAGAGGGTGTTTTTGAATGAGTTTCAAAAAGAGGGCATTATTGAATAAAACATTGGAGATGGGGACAAAGCTACCTATTTCTCAATTTTTTCTCAGTGAGCAAATTGAATTTTCGTGTCAAACTCAGTGACCAAAAAAGTATTTAACAGTTTTTTTTATGGGTGCTAATTTTCCCACTCCCCTTTTGTCCACTTACATTCTCTTCTATTTTTTAATCAATTTTGTTCTTTCTCTTTTCTATTATATTGAAAATGGAGTACAAGTAGGAAAATTAAGTATAAAAAAATATAAAAGTACAGTAAAAAGAAATTAATGCAGAGTAAGGGTTTATTAGGAAAGAGAAAGAACAAAAAAGAATAAAATTGATTAAAAAAATATAAAACAAAAACAAAAAGGAGTGTAAATGAACAAAAGGGAAATGAGAAAATCAGCTCCATTTTTCATATGGAAAAATAGGTCCTAAAATTTTAGAAAACCATGAAAAAAGAAAATCATGAAGTTAATAATAGGAAATTCAAATCTTAGAGAAATTCCAAATTTGAGACCTCATGTAGCATAATTAGGCCAACCAGTACTCTTTTATATTTTGTCTTATGTAATCCCCTACATACATATTCATGAGATAGTAAGAAAATCACATAGCAAAGTACGGATTAATTGACAACTAAAGTCTAAAGTTGAGATGGGCGGTGGTGATGGGCTGAAAAATGGTGTCAGATTCCAAAGCAGCTGCTAATTCAGGCCATAAGATAGAAGACACAGTCCATGAGCCATCCCCCTTTGCACTTGACCTTTGGTTCATGTAAGCCACTCCAATCCTTTCTATTGTGGAACAAACAGTCCCAAGCACTGGGCTCCCAAACCCAAAGTCCAGCTCAGCAACAGGAAACTTTCTTCCTGATGACAAAACAAGTGCTGGGCCTCCTTGTCCCAACACAACTTTGGACAGCATAAGCCCAGGCCTATGGCACTCAATCCAGTCAATCAAGTCCAGAAAATGTTCCTCATTTGTTACCTTTGAAATTGCCTCACCAACGATACTAGCCACATCTGATATTGAACCTTGCTTCAAATCCCCCACACTTGCCTCTCCAAAAGCCAAAGACAGAACATTCCCAATGTAATTTGACATGGGATTTATCTGGTTTTCTTTCTTGTGCATCCTAGACCGTCCATCTACTAACCAACCCATCTTGCACATTCCATGGGATTTTGTATCAATGGCAGTGACCATAGTTTTCCATATATAAGCTGAGACTGACTCAATTTTTGTTCTCTTCTTACCATTTCTTGATGCAAGACTCTGCAGATGTTTAATGCTCGAATCTTCGATGTAATAAAGGCGCTTAATCAAGGTTTTGGCTGTTGGGATATTCATGATCTCTTCCATGGTGCACTTGACAAAACTCTGGTCCAAGGAAGAGTGATAGCTAGGAGGGCAGCGTGCACGAAGGTGCAGGTTTCTCCGGTGATCCGGCACACATGAAACAGGCTTCTTTCGCGCTATTTCAGACCATGAGAGAAGAAAGTTACCAAAGCTAGTGGCATCCCCAAGTGCATGGTCAAAAGTGAACGTAATTGAAACGCCTCCACATGTATATAACGTGACTTGAACTTGAAAAGGGAAGTCGGGGCTGATGGAGGCCAGCTTATTGCTTTGAAGAGATTGATCAAGATCGTAGAAATTTAGTTTTTTCAAAGGAATGTTGGCATGAGCTTCCACAACTAGGACACCGGAGTTGTCACACATGATTTCGGGCTCGTTCGTATGCTGGTTTGGAACGATTCGACCAGCGAATGGGTAGTAAGAGTTGAGAGTACTGGCAAGGGAGGTATTGAGGGACTCAATGATGGAGGAGAAGTCGGTGGCAGCATGAAGATCATGTGGTTCGTTGGGATAGAAATAGAAGTATGAGACTGGAAACCGGCCAGAGAGCAAGTCAAGGTTTGAGAGACTCAGGATATGAGGGTGATCCACCATTGGATTTGTAGGTTTGACAATAAATTTTGTGGTGAAATTCACCTCAAAATCAGCCTCTGCTCCCATTACAAAATATTTTAGCTGGGTTGCTCTCGAAACAACTCTCTCTCTCTATCTCTCTCTCTCTCTCTCTCTCTCTCTCTCTCTATGGCAATGAATAAATCCCCCCTCATCAGCATATTTATAGCTTGTAATGGAGACAAGCATGACCCAATGTTGCTAGGATCCTACCAAAGGATCCATCAACATAACCTATAATACGTCACGAGCTATAATTATTTTGGAAATAACAAAATAACCGAAGTTGACACAGGTTTACTGTTTTCTTTTTCTTTTTAGTAAATTTGGTTTACACCCTTCAAATTCAATTTGTCGTATCTAAAACCCTTCACTTTTTGTTCCTATAAATAATACCCAATTTGTATAAGTAAAAACCCATGACTAGGATCCAACTCAGCAAGTTACCTAATTAAGCATAAAATATGATTTATTGTAATTTTCAAATTCCAAAAATACCCCCAACTAAGTCATTATTGCATTTTGTATATTAATGTAGGAATCAATATGGAAACAGTTTTTAATTGGATTGTATATAATGACAGATGTTGAATTTGGAAA